GGAACAATTTTAGATTTGTTATACTACTATATTTCATTCAAACTGCATTTGTCATGCCACTCACACCTATACAAAATATATACGTGCTTCTCAAATTTAAGGATAAGATAACAATAGCTGTATATATGCACCTAACTTTTCGATATAAATATACTGATTGTGGCTTGTTTTCTTCTTAAACATGTATCTTTTTAAGGTCAATGAAAGACTTATTTAGATATCATTGAAGTTTTACAATTAAACAACTTGTGTAGCATGCTGATTTGTAAAAAGATTCAGTTAAATCGTGTTTCTCTGTAAATTCAGGTATAAATGTCTGTTAGTATTGGAAGCATCTATTCATTTATGGACCTGTTAGCTTCACCTTGAAAAGAAAAGGTTAAGAAGCCACTTATATGTTATCCTTAGCTTCTCTGTTTCCTATGCAGGGAAGAAAGGGAAATATATTAAAGGTTTTGGAAAAGATGAAGTTTAACCTAGCAGAGAAGAGAAAATTTTACAGTCTTTACTGAGGAATCTAACTGCCAGATCCAACCCTTCTATTGGTCCTTGCCCCAAATTTCCTGTGAAAACTCTTCTTTGTTAACAAAGAACTGTGGCACAGTAACTTTACCAGTGTCCAGTAAGTGTTCTCTTAACTCACCTTGTTCTCTTAACTCACCTCATATATGTTCAGTTCAGTTCAGTCGTTCAGTCATGTCTGACTCTTTGCGACCTCATGAACTGCAGCACACCAGGCCTCCCTGTCTGTCACCAACTCCCAGAGTTCACCCAAACCCATGTCCATTGAGTTGGTGATGCCATCAAACCATCTCATCCTCTGTCATCCCCTTCTCCTCCTGCCCTCAATCTTCCCCAGCATCAGGGTCTTTTCAAATGAGTCACCTCTTCGAATCAGGTGGCCAAAGTATTGGAGTTTCAGCTTCAGCATCAGTCCTTCCAATGAATATTCAGGACTGATTTCCTTTAGGATGGATTGATTGGATCTTCTTGCAGTCCAAGGGACTCTCAAGAGTCTTCTCCAACACCACAGTTCAAAAGCGTCCATTCTTTGGCTCTCAGCTTTCTTTATAGTCCAACTCTCACATCCATACATGACTACTGGAAAAACCATAGCCTTGACTAGATGGACCTTTGTTGACAAAGCAATGTCTCTGCTTTTTAATATGCTATCTAGGTTTGTCATAACTTTCCTTCCAAGGAGTAAGCGTCTTTTAATTTCATGGCTGCAATCACCATCTGCAGTGATTTTGGAGCCCCCAAAAATAAAGTCAGCCACTGTTTCCACTGTTTCCCCATCTATTTCCCATGAAGTGATGGGACCAGATGCCATGATCTTAGTTTTCTGAATGTTGAGCTTTAAGCCAGCTTTTTCACTTCATCAAGATGTACGTATAGCAAAAAAATTACAGGTAAATTAGAATGTTGTTACTTCAGAATGTTGTTGTTACATACAAAAAATATATAATAAAATGTGCATATATCCCATTTATCTGTTCTAATAACTCCCAAACTATTCAACACACTATAGCTAGAATGCCCACATCATCTCTTGTTTAAAATATTTTAGTGATTTCGAAATTTTCTTAGAATAAACATGAAGTTCATCCAGCACGGTCTGTAAGGAGCTGAATGGTGTGACCTTTTCCTACCTCTCTAGCCTCATTTAGTACTCTTCTCTCCTTTGTTTTTTTGTTTGTTTTTACCTAAGTTTTACTACCTTCTTGCAATTTCTGAAACACACACTGACACTCTCCACCACCACCTGGCACCTCACAGAGCCTTTGTCTGTGTTGTTTTCTCCTACTGAATAACTTCTTGACCACCCTACAACTCTTTGAGTAGTTAATTCTTCATGTTTCTGTTAACTTACTGCTGATACTTTTTCAGGCATACCTTCCTGAGTCTTGGTCCTTCCAGACTTGGTTAAACCTCCCAGAAAGTATCTGTCCTGTTTATAATTCTTATTTAGTTGTAGTCTAGAAAAGGCAGAGGAACTGGAGATCAAATTGCCAACATCCGCTGGATCATCAAAAAAGCAAGAGAGTTCCAGAAAAACATCTATTTCTGCTTTATTGACTATGCCAAAGCCTTTGACTGTTTGGATCACAATAAACTGGAAAATTCTGAAAGAGATGGGAATACCAGACCACCTGACCTGCCTCTTGAGAAACCTATATGCAAGTCAGGAAGCAACACTTAGAACTGAACATGGACCAACAGACTGGTTCCAAATAGGAAAAGGAGTACGTCAACGCTGTATATTGTCACCCTGCTTATTTAACTTACATGCAGAGTACATCATGAGAAATGCTGGGCTGGAAGAAGCACAAGCTGGAATCAAGATTGCCGGGAGAAATATCAATAACCTCAGATATGCAGATGACAGCACCCTTATGGCAGAAAGTTAAGAACTAAAGAGCCTCTTCATGAAAGTGAAAGAGGAGAGTGAAAAAGCTGGCTTAAAGCTCAACATTCAGAAAACTAAGATCATGGCATCCGGTCCCATCACTTCATGGGAGATAGATGGGGAAACAGTGGAAACAGTGTCAGACTTTATTTTTTTAGGCTCCAAAATCACTGCAGATGGTGATTGCAGCCATGAAATTAAAAGACGCTTACTTCCTGGAAGGAAAGTTATGACCAACCTAGATAGCATATTGAAAAGCAGAGACATTACTTTGCCAACAAAGGTCCGTCTAGTCAAAGCTATGGTTTTTCCAGTAGTCGTGTATGGATGTGAGAGTTGTGCTGTGAAGAAAGCTGAGAGCCAAAGAATTGATGCTTTTTTGAACTGTGGTGTTAGCGAAGGCTCTTGAGAGTCCCTTGGACTGCAAGGAGATCCAAACAGTCCATCCTAAAGGAGATCAGTCCTGGGTGTTCATTGGAAGGACTGATGCTGAAGCTCCAATACTTTGGCCACATTATGCAAAGAGTTGACTCATTAGAAAAAGCCCTGATGCTGGGAAGGATTGGGGTCAGGAGGAGAAGGGGACAACAGAGGATGAAATGGTTGGATGGCATCACCGACTCGATGGACATGAGTTTGTGTGAACTCCGGGAGTTGGTGATGGACAGGGAGGCCTGGTGTGCTGCGATTCATGGGGTCGCAAAGAGTTGGACACAACTGAGGACTGAACTGAACTGAACACTTATATGTGTGATTACTTGATGAGGGTGAGCGTAGTAAACTGTCTGCTTTTACTTGCTATAGTATCTGTATCCTTGTTTCTTGATATAGTACCTGAGATTCAGGAAATATTCTTTAATTAAAGTTTAGTGAAATGAGTAAGTAAATTTCATACTTGTTTTATATCTCCTCATTCCTATATATCATTAACATCTATATTAGTTGAGCTTGTTTTACTTTGGAAGAGATTTTATGATCCTCTCCAGGAACCTGATTTTGTATTTTAATATTTCTGGATCAAGAAGTTCTTTCTCTCACCAGGCTTAAATTCCTATTGCTGAAATAAAAACTCATTTATAAAAATCATTCTCTTTAGCTAGAAAGGACAACTGGTTACAATCTTTGAGATACAGAATTTGTTTCCATATCAGTGAAGTACATTTTCTAATATCATTTCACTATCTTATTTTTCTTTTAATTTTGATATTAGGCTACCTTTCAGCTCAATAAATCTTTAAGGATTATGGAACATTGACAGTTTATTTAGTTATGTGTTTACTTATTTATTTTTAAGGACATAAATTGGCACTAAGACCAAAGTAATCCTAAATATTGTAGCTTCTCAACTGATATCAGGTCTTATCTTGTGAGAATCATATATTAGTAAGGGCTAGCCAACATCCTTTGAAGGCTTCTTTTTCCCATGGGCCCACTCAAAAAAATAGGTCTTTTCCTAATTAAAATATGTTCAGTTTCTCAGATTGTCCTAGTGCTTTCTTAGCAGAAATGAGGGGAATTTCATAAGGAGATTGGAAGTCTCCTCTTCCACATAAACAAAAATTGGCAATCTTTATCTCTTTTGACAGCTGGTGGCATCTTTCTGAAAAGCTTTCAAAGCATAGATCATTTCTTCATAATGAAACCTGTGTGCTCAAATACAGTGGGTTGAAATTCTTATCTTATACTACAGTAAAATGCTCTAATTTTGAGTCACAAAAGGATTCTGTACCCTTTACTTAGGAGAGCTGTGCAATTTGCCCATAAATAGACTGCTCAGCACCATTAGTGCATACCGTAAGTGTGCAGTGACATCATAACCTTTTCAACCTTTTCACCCTTGAATGTGTTTTTTCCCTTTGAAGAATGACAAATGACAAAGGGGTGAGTGAGCCTCCCAAGCAATATTTTTGCCTTTAAGGATGAACTTGGGGACTTTAGCTTGATCCCCTAACAGGAGGAAAAAAAATCAGTTTCATTGTCACCTGAGGCAAGATGGTTTTATTTATTTATTTTTTTCCTCTTTCTGTCCCTGGTCCCACAGCCAAGAGAGACCTCTGACTTCTAAGCTTCAGAGATAGATCTTTGCACGATAGAAAAATTTTATGAGGGCAGTGATCAGAAAAGTGCTGAAATAACTTTTTAAGTACCTACTATGTCTTAGATTCTCTGTTAGTCATTGAGGGTAGAGGTGATTATAGAATATTAATACAACCTATAGTTTCTAATCTTTGGTACTAAATAACATAAGTTTCTTAGCTTGATAAGATAGATTTGGGTGGAGAGGGAAGGGGAATGTGGTGAAAGGGAGAGAATGGAGGAGTTTGTTCTGTTTTGTTTTGTTTTAAAGAACAAGAGGGAGGAGTGCGTATTTTATTGGCAACAGTCCTTTTTCTTGGCAGGGCAATGACTAACCCTAGTGCTCATTCCTTTGCTATTCCATAGAGTTCTTGCACTCACAGTGACCTCCAGTTATTGTCCCAGATATTTGTGTCTTAGAGTAGTCCCTTTCTAAATCTGCCTACCCACTCAATTCCCTAATTCATTCAGAATTTTCTCAAACTTGTGAGATATCTTTTCACTTCTGTTTCAGGTACACCTGAGAGCCTGGCAGAAAAAGAACGGCAGCTCTCTACCATGATTACCCAGCTGATCAGTTTACGGGAGCAGCTCCTGGCAGCGCATGATGAACAGAAAAAACTGGCAGCCTCACAAATTGAGAAACAACGGCAGCAAATGGACCTTGCTCGCCAACAGCAAGAACAGGTGAGCCCTGCAAAAGGAGCTGATGAACTGGAGATGGGGGATGTGCCAAGCTCAGAGAGTAATCACATTGATTGGTTTATTTGTCATAAGCCTTCCTAAAAAAAGACAAGGAAAGAAAGAAGCCTTCTGGAAATCCAGGGTTGTTGAGAATACTGAGGGGATATGTGGAGGACAAAGAGAGGCATAATAGCAACTGGTCATAACTGAAATGATAACGTTGTTCCAGAACATTTGGATTTGATTAATACCCTGGGATACTTGTTCATGTAGGTATCACATATATCCCCAGTGTAGCTTAACCATGAGTAAATCGCTTCTCTCTGGACCTCTTATTCTCATCCAGTAAAAGAAGATCCTGGTCTCAAAAAACTTTGAGAATCGTTTAACTTACTGGTTCAAGTTCGGGTGACTACATGTCTCAGTTTTTCCAGAATAGCTCTGATTAATGTTTGTTTTCCAGAGTAATTATTAATACTCCCCTCTTCTACCTGTGAAAGTTGTCCTGGCTAGGCTGATAAATTATATGGTCACTCTCTTTTAGCATAGGTAAATCATTAAAAACAAATTAACACATGGCTTCTGGAAGAATTTGACTTCATTGATTTAGAAGTGAGAAGGAAGAAAAATAGCAAAGTTTAAGTGTGTATCTTTTAAAAAATAAATCACTTTCCCAAATGTTTTTCCTGTCTCATAAGAGTACATTAATCTAACAACAAGGATCCTATAGAGTAGTCCCTGATGCTTTAGATCAGACAGATCCAAATTAATGTGCAGTTTTTAGGAATCTGACATTATTACTGGAATTATCTTTTCAGTTAAATGTATTTTATAGGGGTATATAGAGCAATATATGCTCTGTTGATTTTAATGAGTTGTGACGTCTGGTATTTTATATGCTTGAATATTTGCCCACATGTAGGAATATGGACTCAGCCCCTAATGGAAAATAACATAAAGGAACACTGTAAAAAATCAGAAGTTAGAATGTCATTTAGCCATCCAGAGATGACACAGTAATTAACTATTGACACTTGTGAATAAGCTAGCACAAATTAATCTTGACACATTTGCAGACGAGTGATATCTTACAGTGAACACTTTGTAATTATATTTCAAAATGAAAATTAAATGACACTTAAAACTAGGTTGTCATGCTCAATGAAGCGAGCATGTAGCTCAACCGATTGGCAAATAAAATTCAGAATTTGAGCCACATGGTGCTTATGTACCATACTTCACTGTGTCAAACCCATACGTCTAGAGTGGATGATAGTAATTGCACTGCGGTGTTTTGGGTGCATTTCTATGCAGCACTTTATCATTTAGGAGGGACCATCAATATTAAATGTCTAGCGGTGTTTCACTGGCTTGCTAAGAGGGAATAAACATTCAGAGATCCAGCATGTATACCTAGAGTTGCAGAGTTGTCCATTTCTGATTTGAATGGTGATAAGCAGAGTGAGCCTTTTCAACCTGATTAAATGCTATTTCCATTTTGCTTCTAAAGCTTTGGGGAGGAGTGGTCCCATTTCTTAAACTGTAGCCTATGTTAGGGGCAGCTTTATCATAACTTCTAGTATGAACCAGTCATCACCAGAAACCATTAAGCCCTATTTGGGGGCAGACTGCTATTTGCCATCTTCTGCTGAAAAGAATGTAATCTGGGTATTTCCCTCTACTCTAGGCTGAAATATCAAAAAGACTCAGGAAGTATACAGCTGAGGGGTAATTCACACTCATTTCCAACACTGTCCATTTTAGAATGTTTTGGAAATAGAAGAAATAGGGAGAGCATAACTCTTGCCTGTAGGCATCATGAAACCAAGTCATCCTAAGAGCTTTCTGGCCATTTTTTTCCCTGGCTCCCTAGGTTGGCAGTGAGTGTGTTCTCACTGAGGGGCATTCCCATGGGTTTCAAGCTCCAGCAGCTCAGATTTTGAGGTAATAAGCAGCCTGACACCTAACTCGTGTTTTATAGCAAACACTATTATCCTAAAGAAGTTCTTTGCTCTCCTGAGGGGAAGATTCAGTCTTCAATGGGGCTTGCATTAAGTGGTTAATGTTTTTTTTTTATAGACCAGATAACACGTTAAGATGTTGAATTTGTTGGATGAAGCAAGGGAATACAAAACTTATATGTGGATCCTGTACAATAAAACTAACACATTACAATAAAAAAGATGTGAATAAATATGAAATTTTGTTTTTTTAAAAAAATGCTTTGTACATTCCACATTACATCAGCAATAAAAAAGATAAAAGTTTTTGGTTTTTAATGTTTTTTTCTTTTGACATTCCCTGACTATATTTGTTAGCATTATCAGTTCTAAAAATTTTTACAGTAGAAAAGGTCTCACCAAAGTAGGCCATATTATAAGTAATAGAAAGTTCTTTCATACCTTTGCTTATGAATTTTACTTTTTAAATCCAAATTAAGCTCCTCAGAAACATGAAGCCAGAGTTTTCCTGTCTTTATTCTCCAAGGATCAGATTTTGAAACTCCCATTCTTTCCAGATGACCAGTGCAGATATAGATGAACTGCTCACAAATGTAATACAAGAGGGGTAGTTTTCATGTACGGGTCAAGATTTAGGGGTAAGCAGAGAGATGGCACCTGTTTGAAATATTTCTCTTCTCTCCAACTTTCTGATTCTGCCTCTCTCATTTTATAGGAATTCTTTCATATTAGAAGTACAATAAAACATTATTGTAATACCAGATATACCTCAGGTAATAGCAAAGGTGTAAGCATTTCATTTTAACTTAATGAAATTTTATTTCTGATAGATTGCAAGACAACAGCAGCAACTTCTGCAACAGCAGCACAAAATTAATCTCCTGCAACAACAGATCCAGGTCTGTGTATTTATTACTCTTGTCTGATTATACTTAGATACTTTCCTCCTTGAAAACGGAATTTAAAATGCTGCAAATGCACCCTTCTCTTATAAACAGCACCAACAGGGCTTTTATTCAAGGATGTTGTACACAGTTGTATAAGTGGATGTAGGAAATATCGACTTGGTGGAAGTCTAAGCATTCTTTTCTGATGTGATACACAAGCAGGATAAACCTTACCTTTTTTACCATCTGCCATTTGACTAATACTACCTAGTGAAAACATAATGGTTTCCAAGGTTGCATACTCATGCTAGTTTTATTGCCACAAAACTACTTGCTCTGTATTTTACCGTCTGATAGTATCATGGGTAGAGGCTTATGTTTATTTGCTTGTTAAGATGTCTGATTGGGCCAATTATGAGAAGAATCTTATGATCTAGGAAAAGGTTGGTAATAATTAATATATTAACTGCATTTCTGCTAGGTGCTGAAAGGAATATAAAGATTAGTAATTGTCTTCAAGAAGCTTATAGTTTAGAAATTTCTTTTTCTTTATTCCTTTTCTTTCTTTTTTTTTTTTTGTGTGTGGCAGGGTAACACAATATAGAGATCATATTTACAATGGCCTGAGAAAGAATTCTGGTTTCTGTTATTCCATTAGATATTTGACAGTTAATTCAGCTAACAGCTATTTGACATAGGTAAGGGAAGTGATCTCCATTTTTGGATATGCGCATAGGTGGGTGTGTGACTTCTAGAAAGCCTTAGAGTAAACAACCGGTTGTCTGGTGATTAAACCTCAGGCATACTGATCCCAGAGTTACATGTCCCCACCACAGCCTCTCGGTTTCTCCTGGTTGTAGATATTTTCTATACTGGGATATATTATTCAGCCTAGTTGGGGCACAATATTCTGAATTATATTAGTCCTTTCCTTGGGATTAGTATTACACCTTCCTATGTTTTTAAAAATCATTTACATAAAGTTATAACTTATTTCACCTTACCAATGAAAGTCAATGAAATCATTGAGATCTTTGCTTCATTGTGTAGTCACACTTAGTGTTCTGGGTAGTAGCCACTGAACTAAAAATACTGATTTGGTGCCTGAAGAAGTATTTGTACCTAATTTGGCACTTTGTCCATCTTTTCTAGGAAGTTTTAACTAGTGTTTGTTGTTGTTTTAATTAGTTCTGATTATGTATTCCATAATAAGTCTATATGTTTCAAAATAATGAATCCAAACATAATAGAGTAGATAGTATGTCTCTGGCATTTTGGACAGTCAGCCTTTATGATTAAGTCTTGGAATAATTTCCTATCCTGATACTTATGACTCATGCCGAGATCCTTAATTAAATAACTATCCAGGTGTCCCTTGCTCTGCCCTTATTAGAATGTTCAGTATGTCTCCCACTGCTAAGGTCAAGACTCTTAGCCTGTGGCTTCCTACGTTTTTCTCTAGATCCCTCTCTAAGAACTTGGTAGGTGTTAAATAACCTGATTCTTTAGAGTACTCTCTGTTTCTCCTATTTGTAAAGCAGAAATGGAAGAAATTCCCTGAGATGTTCTCATATCAGTTACTTATTATTAATGTTTTTACTACCTCTTTATTACCTACTTTGTTATTTGTTTTGAATTTATTTCACTTCTTAGTCCAAAGTTGTTTGCATTAACTGGATGTCTTAACTGATGTGTGCCTGTGGTACTGAGGATCTCAGATGAACAGCAACAAAATTAGTTCAAATTATCTTTGTGAAATATTATAGGCATTTATTGATTACATATGATTCTATAGTCATAACGATTATATGAGTTGAAATCTTTTTCAGGAAACTAGAACGTGATCTTAAAATATTATTCATCAGAATATTCAATTTGAGAAGACAAGAGCATTGGTTTTTCAAGTGTTTTAATAGAAGTTCAATTGCTTTAAATTTTATACATATTTCTCGTTGTTTAAATTTTTAAAAATTGAAGCCAATCAGGCCTGATCTCAGCAGTATAAACTATAAAAATCATAGACAGATTCAAAATAGTTACATTAATTTTAGAAATATGGGATTCTTTGTAACAAGAATTCATATTTTATTTTTTAAAAAAAGAGGAGGCAATAATCTGTATTTCCAGTTTAATCTGTCCTGAGCTACTGCTTCACTGCATATTTTGTCAGTGTTTATCTAATCGAGTATAAGACCATTCAAAGAATTTTTCAAATACTGGAAAACATTTACTCCTTACCCAAAACATATTCATCTCTGACACAAAGCACATATTTGATATTCAGAATTTTAGTTATTTTTTTGGAAGGGAAATGGGTTAACTATAAGGTTTTTGGCCAGCTATAGGCATGATCAAACTTAAGAGAGAGACTTTTGTTGGACTCATTTTAATTTGAGCAAAATATGAGATTTAAGGAATGCTTCAAACATTTTTCTATCATGAAGAAACATTCTCTCTTTTAAAAACAAAACAGAGATTAAAATAAGATAATAAATACAAAACGTAACTTCTCTTCTAAAACTGAATGAATACAGTGACAATTTGAGATCCCAAGTTTTACCTTTTTCCTTCTTTTAAAGTCTTGTATTCTAGAATTTATTTCCTAACAGGGTCAGCAAGATTAAGCCTTGGCAATTGGCCATAGATACTAAGTGTCAGGTGATTACTTTCAAGATCGTTCTTTACTTCGAGTTCAGAATGCTGACTTCTGAATTAGTACTTGTTGCTTTGGAATTTGCAAACTGTAATAAAAAGAAAGGAAAGAGTGTCTAACCTATTATAGCAACCACACACAAACACGTCTGGGTCTATAATGATGGAAACAAATGAAAACCTGAATGATTTGCACACATTGAAAGGCAGAATTCTTCATTAGCAATAGGAAAAGGCAGATTAAGATAGTATTATAAAAAGTCCTTGAGCTTATTTATTTTATTTGCAGTCATTCAAAACTTATTCTATATATGTAGTTAGAAATTATTTCATTTATGTATTTTTTCCTTGAATATAATTTTAATGTAATTTCACATTGGTAAATTATAACTAAATTTTTAAAGAGATACTTTTAAGACTATGTGGACTTCCCTGATGGGACTAGTGGTTAAGAACCCGCCTGCCAATGCAGGAGACCCAAGAGACATGGTTTTCATCCGTGGGTCGGAAAGTCCCCTGGAGGAGGGCATGGAAGTCCACTTCAGTATTCTTGCCTGGAGAATCTCATGAACAAAGGAGCCTGGCAGACTGGAGGCCAAAGGGTCACACAGAGTCAGACACAACTGAAGTGACTTAGCATGCATGCATGGTCTTTAAGCCATGATGAAATCGTAAAATGAATGATTTTGTGAACCAGTGTTTTTGTACTTTTGATGAGTTAATTTTTACCATTTAAAAAATCAGGTTAATAACTTTAAATTGTTTTTAAAATTCTTTAATATCAACAGATCTTTTAGGAGGCTGTTTGCTTAGTGAATTCCAATCCCTCTGTGCTTTGGGGAAAATGGTGATTCTTCTAATCTGTTACATAGTAAGTAATTCCCTGGATCAGATCAGATCAGTTGCTCAGTCATATCCAACTCTGCAACCACATGACCGACAGCACGCCAGGCCTCCCTGTCCATCACCAACTCCTGGAGTTTACCCAAACTCATGTCCATTGAGTTGGTGATGCCATCCAACCATCTCATCCTCTGTCATCCCCTTCTCCTCCTGCCGTCAATCTTTCCCAGCATCAGTGTCTTTTCCAATGAGTCAGCTCTTTGAGTCAGATGGCCAAAATATTGGAGTTTCAGCTTCAACATCAGTCCTTCCAGTGAACACCCAGGACTTATCTCCTTCAGGATGGACTGGTTGGATCTCCTTGCAGTCCAAGGGACTCTCAAGAGTCTTCTCCAACACCACAGTTCAAAAGCATCAATTCTTCGACGCTCAGCTTTCTTCACAGAACAACTCTCACATCCATACATGACCACTGGAAAAACCATAGCCTTGACTAGACGGACCTTTGTTGACAAAGTAATGTCTCTGCTTTTTAATATGCTTTCTAGGTTGGTCATAACTTTCCTTCCAAGGAGTAAGCGTCTTTTGATTTCATGGCTCCATTCACCATCTGCAGTGATTTTGGCGCCCTGAAAAATAGTCAGCCACTGTTTCCACTGTTTCCCCATCTATTTCCCATGAAGTGATAGGACCAGATGCCATGATCTTAGTTTTCTGAATGTTGAGCTTTAAGTCAACTTTTTCACTCTCCTCTTTCACTTTCATCAAGAGGCTCTTTAGTTCTTCTTCACTTTCTGCCAAAAGGGTGCTGTCATCTGCATATCTGAGGTTATTGATATTTCTCCCAGATAATTCCCTGGATATGAGGCCAAAAAGTTAGACATTTTTTATATTTGCAGGACAGAAATGGGGCTTTTCAGGTGGTGCTAGTGGTAAAGAACTCACCTGCCAGTGCAGGAGACACGAGATGTGGGTTTGATCCTTGGGTAGGGAAGATCCTCTGGAGAAGAGCATGGCAACCCACTACAGTATTCTTGCCTGGAGAATCCTATGGACAGAGGAGCCTGGCAGGCTACAGTCCATAGGGTTGCAAAGAGTTGGACATGACTGAAGCAACTTAGCATGAACAGAAATAGCACAGTTTTTATCAAGTTTGTGGAAAGCAAAACTAACAGATCATGAAATATGGATCCTTGAATTTGGGACTATTGCTCTTGTTGTAATTCCAAAGAACAAATAACTGCTTTAGTAATTTCTTTCTCCTTGTCTCCCACAATGCACCATAGTATCTTAGGCTTTTGAAGCATTTTATTTATGAATTATATTGACTAGTAAACAAAATTCACTTTGAATCCATTGGATATATCAACACATATTTACATTTTAATCAGTCATTAAATATAAGTCTAATCTAAGCAAACTAGAAAATATTTCATAACCCTTGATTTCTTGATCCATCCATATATTTATTCATCTAACCTCATTTGACCATGTCATGGTTTTAGAATCTAGAGAAG